AGTCTGTTCTTCTATTCTTACTTTATTACTATATTTATAATATGTATGTATTTAAAGTTATATATAAGTAGTTTATCAACTATCTAGTATCCATAACACAAGCCTCGTAGCTTATCATCACAACATATTTATTGTTATTATATATTATTATTACTTGTTCCTATAGTTCTTTTCGGTTATTCTTTGGCACTTTTATATATTTCATGAAATCGACAACTAGTTTGAATCAACAACTATTTCTTTGAAAAAAGAAAAAAAAATTGAAAAAAGGTATCAATAAAGTACTTGATAGTAGATACGTTGTCATTGTAATAGTGAACCATATACAATATACATCTTCATATATGAGTAAATATAAATAAATATGTTGGGACATTAACACACTGCACCATCTAGTTCCATAGTGAGCTACGAGACTTGTGTTATGGATACCAGATAGTTGACACCCTACACATATATAACTTTAAATACATACACATTATAAATATGAACACCCATGACTGGAGTACAAACATTCGCGCTCATCACACAAATGAATCCGCCCAGCGGAAATCGAACCCCCGACCGCTGGCACAGCAAGTAGGGTCACTACAATCAAAGCCAAATATCAAAGTAGTAGAGTGAACTATAAACGCAATAAGAGCTAGTATATAAGTTTATTTTTTTTTCGAGAAAAGTTGAAATTTATAGTTTACTAACCGCCCACCGCATCTAAGTTTTAACTTTTAACTATTATTTGAAAAAAAGATTTTAAGTTTTTATAAGTCTTCAACCCTTCATAACTCCGCACTGAGCTGAGCACGAGCCACGCTGGACAAGTGCCGGTAGGGTGGCTTTCATACATATCGTTGACTCACAATTACAAGGTTCTATGTTACAATTTTAGTACTTATTTAGTTATTAATGCTACAAGGTTTTATGTGTCATTAGCTACAGTTTTGCAAAAACAAACCACTAGATAGGGGCACTTAAACTACAAAATATTCAATTTTACATAGTTCTATGTTGTTTTTTTTACATTTATTTTATATTTATTTATTTGTTTGGTTTATCAAGTTACAGTTTGCAACTTATAATGATAAACACCGCATGCATAATAACAGGAAAAGTGGCGTTTGACAAAAAAGGTAAATTTTAAATAAAATAATAAAAACAAAAATGACACGTAAGTAATAAAAAAAAAAGAAACAAAATAAAAACAATAAAATAAAAAATAATAATAATAATACAAACAATACAAGATTTTTGCCTCACAACTGGGTCTAATTCATAAACAGTAATATTTTTTTAATTTTACTAGGGGGATCGGAAAATATGTCGAATTCTCTTGCATAGTAATTAGCTAATCGACTAAGTCTCGGAATGGGTGAGTTAGCTCCAAGTACGGTTCTGCGAATGGGAAGTGAGAAAGGAGAGATGGAATTACGAGGACATCTTGATGGTACGTTAATGCGTAACTGTGCTAATAGTTTGGGACAATCACTAAACGCGGTTATGATTTTGGAAACAAAAATAATATCTAAGGCATCCCTACGTTCTGAAAGTGATTTCATTTTAAAGTGTGTCAACCTTTCTTTATATGAGTTCTTTCTGTCCAAGATACCTTCTGAGTGAGTGAGATGCCAAAGAAATCTTTTCTGAACTCGTTCTAAACGCAGTGAATGTGTGGAATAGTGTGGTCTCCAAACTGTACTACAGTACTCAAGTTGACTTCTTACGTAACTATTATATAATTTGATTTTTGTATAGGAATTAAAAATTTTACAATTACGTAGGATAAAACCTAGTGTTCTTGAGGCTTTACTAACAATACTTGATAAATGGTCTTGAAATGTTAATTTACTGTCAAAAATTACGCCCAAATCCGTAATACAATTGCGTCTATGTAGACTATTTCCGTTTAATTGACAATCGGCGTTAATAACATGATGCTTTCTAGTGAAAGTAATTTGATAGCACTTATCCGCGTTTAATATCATACCATTTTTTTGACACCAGAAGGCCACACTATTAAGATCATGCTGCAATAAATTTACATCAACTGTAGATTCTATAACTTTGAGAAGTTTTAGGTCATCAGCATATAAATATGGCGTACTATATTTTAATTGGTGTGGTAAGTCATTTACATAAATATTAAATAAAAACGGGCCCAGATGGGAACCTTGAGGGACTCCTGATGTAATTTTAAAAAAAGATGAATCGAAACCTGCTAGAGCCACATAGAATGTTCGTGCTGATAGATAACTTTGAAACCATTGCCTAAGGCTTCCCGTGAACCCATAACTTTCCAATTTTTGTAGCAATAGTTTATGAGGGACAAGATCAAATGCTTTAGTAAAGTCTGTATATACAACCTCTATTTGTTTCCCAGCATCAATGTTAGCAGCTAAAGTTTCACTGAATTCTACTAAATTTGTAGCAGTGGATCTACATTTAACAAATCCATGCTGATGTAAAGATAGATGAGACTTAAAGTGGGACCAGATGTACTGAAGTATTAGAGACTCGAAAGTCTTGGCGAAGATTGACAGAATAGATATTGGCCTATAATTAGAAACACTAGATTTATCACCTTTTTTGAAAATTGGTACTACTTTGGCTTTTTTCCAATAGGTCGGAAATATACCTAATTTTAAAGATTTATTAAAAATAATATGTAAAGGTTCGCTTAAAGATGAAGCACAGTTAGCAATAAAAATTGGTGAAATACCATCTGGTCCTGCACCTTTGTCCTTTTTGACGTATTTAAGCTTAAGCAAGATTTCGTTAGCGGAAAAGCTTATATTACTAATGGAATCTGTGCAAGAGCTGATATCTTGGTGGTATTCGCTTTCCTCACGGCTTAGTTGTTGATTTTCATTGAAGTCATAAATGGAGGCAAAGTATCTTGCAAACAAATCACATATTTTGGCCCCATCGGTTGCTGTAGTGATTCCATTCGTTATTCTATTGGGATAAGAGCTAAAGCAATTACGTTTATCTTTCATGAAAGTCCATAATTTTTTGGGCATTTTAGATATATTAGTTTCCGTGTTTTGGATATAAGAATAGTAATTGTCACTGGCTAGATTATCACAACGTGATTCTAGAATCGCTAATGATATTTCGTCTATGGGATTCTTATATTTGTTATAACGCTTTTTTAATTTGTCTTTTTCTTTTATAAGACGTATAAGTTTACGACTAAATCATACAGGGAATTTCTTGTTTTTTGGTTTTGTTAGAGGAACAAACTTAGTTATAGCTATTCGCAAGATGCTATAGAAAATTTCCACCATATTATCAATATTATCGTCGTTTAGAATGAGTGCCCATTTAATATCAGTTAGGTATTTATTTATTTCCGAGAAATCTGCTTTGAAATAGTTGTATTTAACATTGTTGGTATTAATGTTTAACAAAGGGAGAGAAGAATTGGAGATTTGAATAATTAAGGGAGGATGGAGAGGATCTATGGAACTTAAAGAATTGAGCGATTGTAATACAGAACAAATTTCTGCATTTGTTAAAACTAAATCTAAAATCCTGTTCATATTATTCTGGATGAAATTATACTGTCTAAACTCATTAACACTTAAAAAATCAATAAGAACTTGACCCATTTTGGAACCAGTATGCACATTGGATAAACCAGGCTGTGAAACATCAATCAGTTGCCAGTTAATACAACTTAAGTTAAAATCACCTATAAGCGTATTAAAATTATGATATTCAAAGACGCGATTGCAGTTATTAGTAAAGCTATTTATTATTGTGTAACTCATGGGGGGTGGTAAGTATACTGCACAAAGGGCAAGCTGTTTAGGTTTGCGAGTGTCACCGATATCTATAACCAACCAGATATCTTCACATTCGCTTTCCCATTCAAGCATACGCTTGCAATTGTATTTTTTGGATACCGCTACTAATACACCGCCGCCTTCGCGTTTCTGTTGAAACTGTGTTTGCTTTCTATCTCTTCTAAAGACATTATATCTATTATCAAATAACTCGCTATTTAAAATTCCATCATTCAACCACGTTTCGGTTAAAACTATTACATCGAAATCATTCGTACAAGTACTTATATAAAAGCTATGAGTTTTAGTTCTTAAGCCACGAACGTTTTGGTAATATATATCGAGTGTCGCAGAGAATTTTATAAGAATTTTTAAAACAATAAACATTCATTACACAAAGAAGGGGGGGGGGGGGGTAAATATACATAACAGATTACAATTAGCCCAAGTTATTTAAAAAGTTCAGGTCTTTGACCAATTTACATTCCGAGTAGTCTGTTTTTCTCATAAAGATACGTCCATTTCTTATCCACACATATTTGTATCCTTTTTCCCTTGCCCTAATCCTAGCTGCAGCATGAAGATTCTTGTTTGCTTTAGAAAGATGTTCGCTTACAAATACAGGTCTATTATTTCCATTTAAACCAAGATGGACTGTGTTCAGTTTGTCGTTAGGGTTGCGCTTATTAAACTTGATGACTGCAGCCAAAATTGAATCTCGGATTCTAGGTGAACTCAGTTGCATTACAATTGATCTAGGGCGAGGATTGGCCGAATCTTGTTTGGCTACTCGTGAGCAATGCAAAATGTTTTCTTCCTTTAGATCACAACCGATGGTCTTTGATAAATGGGATATTAAGGTAAGAAGATTTTCATTTTTGTTTTCTGGGACTCCCTGAATCTCTACGTTGCTGGCTCTAGCTTGTTGCTCTAAAATATTTATTCTATCGGTAAGTAATTTTATATCTGCTTTCATTGTTTTATTATCCTCCTCAAGCTGTTTGACTGTTTCGGTATTCGTATTAAATTTCTTTATGATATCCTCATACTGACTGTTTAGAAAGTTCATTGAATCTTTCATTTCCGAAATCTCATTTTTTATACCTTTTAATTCAGCATTGAGAACATTGGTCAATTTATTACTAATTCCGATTGACAAGTTCTGTAGTTCATTCTTAATTATATCACTCACAACTTCTCGCATGTTATCAAGTGTTATGGCGTCATTGGAATGCGTTTCTGGTGGAGATGAAATTGCTGGCCTTTTAGATGATCGCTTAGCAAAGTTTTGTTTAAGAGTGCCTTTGGTCTAGCATCGGATCGTACAGGCATGTTGTCATCAATTATATTCTTAGGTTTGAGTCGCGTGCACTCAGGACATCTCCAATTAATCTCTGTTTGTTGTGCCTTGGTGATACTCAAACAGTCATAATGAAATGCTAACTTGCAAACGCTGCAGCATAGGTACTCTTCGCCCTCTAGTGAGGCGACACAGCAACCCAAACTTGTTACATTTGTTGTGACATCCATTTCCACATTAATTTTTAATTCAACTATGGTGAGTAAGATGCGTAAAGTAAATAAAATTTTTATTATAATCTAAAATATTCTATCTTCAAACTGAGATTTGAACCAGGGTATTCTGGCTGACAAGTGTATTTGCACGTAAGAATTCTGCGCCACGACAATCGTTAGCAACTTAACGAATTAGTTATACTGTATTTAGCTGTATCAATTGGAACTTGAAAGCTCGTGTTACTTGATATTAGTGATTTACTTAAGTTTATGTACACTTTATCACAATTTTTTTTATACAGCTTGTTTTTTAACCAATTTCCACATTTGCACTAAATAGATATAAGTTCCTCGCGATTTTTCATTTCAATACGGTGATAACACGGTCATTTTTTTTTCGTAACTTTTACACCATTCACAATAGTTTCACAATACTTTTAATTATTGTTTATAGGTAATGTACACTTGTTCACCTTATTAAGCACTTATATATTAGAAAAACAACGAAAATCCAATTATAATTCGAAATAATTTAGTAAAACATTACGGAGGTGATGTTTCCTGTCTACCGTCCATATAAGTTACGATAGCAAAATAGCGAAGTTCTATGTAAAAATTACTAAACTTTATTAAAATTAACATAGAACCTTGTAATAGTGAGCCAACGAATTATGTCATTCAAAAATTAATGGGATTCAGATATGCATGTTACCCTATGATATTTCTTTCATCTTTCCTATGTTATTATTAAGACGAGTGTTAATTATAAATGAACTTATTTATGAAATCCTACTTATATTATAAATGCGAAAGTTTGTGAGGATATCGGAATGTATAGATGTATGGATGTTTGTTACTCTTTCATGCAAAAAATACTGAATGGATTTTAATGAAACTTTACAATAATATAGCTCATACATCAGAATAACACATAGGCTACTTTTATCTTGGAAAAATGTACGGTTCCTCCGGGATAGATTTTTTTTTTGTTTTTACATAGCCCGAGCGAACCGAGTGTGAGCTGCTAGTCATTTCATAAATTTACGCTGTAGACGTATATTTTTTAAACGTTATTAATGCTAATTTCGTCAAATATCGCGTTAAAGATATCTGTTTGTATTCGCCGAACACATGTTACTCTCGGCATTCTAGAGATGAAAGCTATATGCTAGGAACCGCCAGTCAACACCGTTAGGTCGCTAGTCTTTAATATAAACATGTCACTATAAACAGTAAATGTTGAGCAGAATGAGCCACGTAAATAGGTCATTATAACTTTAACACACTCATAAAAAATAAAAACTCTTTGGTTTCTAACGAATTGGCCCTTAAAATGTCTTAGGATTTACGATTTAGGTTTTATAAAACACGAGCTTTTGCTAAACTTCTCATTTATAATTGTATCTTCATTTAAGAATGTGTTTGTTACATGTTAGACATCTTTTTTCTGACTAAATCTAAGCTTTCGGATTAAAAGCACACATCATACATGTAAAGCTGTATGCAACGCAGAATTAACTCTTAGTCCAAAACAAAATGGCACTACAAGGATCGAACCCACGATCAGGAACGCACAAATTAGCCTGCTAAAATAGAAAGAACGCGATAAGCTAATGCAAACTCAAGGTTAACAGATGATTACATGAACAAGATTATTATAATTCCTGAGATTTAAATATAGCGACGTTATAACGTACGGCGATATGTTTGAATATTCTGTTGCGTTCGAACGCATATGAATATAATATGTATAATTGACGCAGTAGATCTATTATGAGATAAATTACTATGGAAACAGATGTGAGCTTATGTTGAGATGTAATTCATTAATCGTTCTCCAAGTCTTTTCGCCAAACCCATAATTTGTTTTAGTTTCCGTAGACAAATGCCAAAAATGGACCCTTTTATCGCGTCTGTTTGTTGTGACAGTTACTTTATTCGAAAACTATTGGTAACCACTACATAGCTAAAAGGCCGGTGTGTTTCATGTCATGTCATGATAATGGAGATATCTAAATACAGGAGAAAAACTACACTAAATTACACACAATTAAAGGTATATAATAATGTAAATACAAAAGGCATCTAAGGTGTTGTTTGTTTATCTATATAATAGACATAGACAAAACAGTGCAGTACATTTTTCTTCTCTGTTTGCCAACTGATTTTGTTTCCTCTTTGTCTGTTTAAACTTATTAACTTTATATTGGACTTTAGTGTTGTCAAAAAAATCGAATTTCGGCCACTACGCGAACACTAGTAATAATTAAATGTACCCACTTTTTTCATTCTTGAGGTATGACCCAGTAATTGTTCGATTACCGCACTTATACTACGTGCGTGCTAGCTTTATAATATAATTTTACTAGCGACTCACCCTCGCTCCGCTCGGGTCCATCCCTGGTGAAAATTTAGGTTTGTATGTATTTTTTAATGCCGAATCATAACATTTTTTTTTGGGGTGGACCACCCTTATCACTTAGGGGTATGGAAAATAGATAGTAGCCGATTCTCAGACCTACTGAATACGCATATAAAATTTGGTAAAAATCGGTAAAGCCGTTTCGGAGGAGTATAGTAGCAAACATTGTGACATGGAAATTTTATATATAAGAAGACTAGTGATATTTACATAGTACACTTTTAATTGTATTTTACTAACAACACCTCACTACTAACAACACCAATATATAATATCAACATCGTGTTAAGTAATTAATAAGAACAAAAGCAATTACGAGTAATACAGCAGTGCTTTCACTACGTTTCAAATGTGACTATGTGAAGCGAAGTTCAGAGTTCTTAAAACGTCGTATCTTAATACCTTTGAGATTTTCATGTTCATTGCTGAAATTTTGATGAAAAATCTGAGAAAACCTGGATAGTTTCGAACATTTTAAATATGCTAATATTTAGCCAGCGTAGTGAAGCGACATATGTAAGTCTTATTGTATAAATAAATATGTTAGGACATTAACTCAACGCCACCTAGTTCCATGGTAAGTAAGCTACGAGTCTTGTGTTATGGATACCAGATAGTTGATACACTACACATATATAACTTTAAATATATACATATTATAAATAAAAACACCCATGACTGGAGTACAAACATTCTGGATCATCACACAATTTAATGCCCCCAGCGGGACTCGAACCCGCGACCGTTAGTACAGCAAGTAGGATCAATACAAATTAAGCGAAACGTATCGTCATCGACGTGGGATAAACCTTTCTTATAACTAAAAAACCCGGTAGTGGGACGTTAAAATTACTGAGTCATTGTTATTGTAAAATCAAAAATATTGTTTTTACGCTTTATATCCTTTAAAATAATTTAATCATCTTCCGGCACTTTTTAGTGTTTCGTTTCGTTGGTAGCTTCCTCACGACTGATTACATTGAATAAAAGTGCTTCAAGACGTACTATAATTTTGATTACGCTGTTTTAGTTCGTTTTAAGGCGAACAAAAAATAATTGTAGAAAAATATTTTTTTAAACAAGCTTTTATTTAAAGGCTCCAAAAAGATGAAAATAAACTTTAAAATTATATCAAACCTATCAATTTATTACATTAAACAATTTATATGATACTATTTACTAATATTATAAAGAGGTTTCGTTTGTTTGTTTGTTTGTTCGTTTGTTTGTTTGTTTGTATGAACGCACTAATTTCAGGAACTAATAATTTAATTTGAAAATTTTCTTTTTGCTTTCGAATTCGAAAATTTTCTTAATAAACGGTCTATAATAAGAATGGCTATGGGATATATATATCATCCTGGAAAAATGTACGATTCCCGTGGGATAGTTTCTTTTGTCTAGTATGATATACGAGTAAAAGCTTGTCGCGAGATTTACCTATTTAAAAAAACATTATTTTCAACATTTTGTTTCTTGTTTATCTTCACAGATAAATTCGGTTGCAAGATTTAACTCAAACTAACATACTAACACGACAAGTTAAATAAAAGCTTGTAAAATGGGCAAAATTAAAAACGTTAAAAACAGCATAAAATGCAAAAGCTGCTAGCTCCTAAATTCCATTTGCGTATGTACGTTGCATTATGATAGGTATAAGAATGCTTGAGCTACTTAAATTTAATATTTTACTACAAGTAAAGTTACTTATAAAATGAGTGTGAGTAATATGACGTGATTTTCTTATTTTTATCCTTTATGAAATCTGAGACATCGAAGTGAAAGCTCTTCTTCCTTCTCTACGTTCATACATTTGCAAGGGAAATTGATTCTTCGTAACAGGATACGGCGTACGCTACGTAGGTATAGGTGTATGCAGAAACATACGGGTGGTATCTATGTATGTATCTATAATAATATTACAAGACAGAAAAGTTTTTTTGTTTGTTTGAACAAACTAATTTATGGAATTACTAAAAAATATGCCCAATTTTTTCTTTGCATTTCATAGCCAATTTATAAATTAAGGAATTTTATAAGCTATCTATTATTTATATATTAGAATACTTCGGATCGAAGCAAATATCACTAATGACATAACACTGTACTAGCTAAAGTTTTTAACTATTCTAAGTAAAATATATACCGTACACTAAGGGGCTAGCTTAAAAAGCTTTAGATTTTGCGGTTCAGGAATTAGTCCTGGCTTGTGTCAAATGATTTATTGTTTATAATTAACGTGTAGATCATTACATCTATCTACTACGTCAGAGGTCATGGGTTTGATAAAAATATTTATTTCGTTTGCTAATAAACGCGTAATAAGGTATAATATGGAAAATTGAAAAGAAAACATAATCTTTGAAATTACATATGTGATATTCTTTAAGTTAACAAACAGACTCCTCAGTGTTATGGTAAATCAATTTCGATCTAATTAAGCTATTTTTATTAATGTAACAGTCAAAGGACGGGATCAAAGTTTATATAAAAAATCTAATAACAGACCAAAACTAAATGATATCATTATTGAAAGTGTATAAAAAAAGCGAAGCGCATAATATATAGGCAAAAGAACAAACTATCCAATAAA